AAAGTTACATCTGCTGACTTGCATGGATTGTCACCTATTTTATATACTGGTGTTTTATACATGTAGTGTTTTTGTATTCTAATAGCAACAACCACGTTAGAAGGTGTTCAGTTTTTCTGCAGCATGCCAATCTCAAACACCTCACCCATGAACCCACAGGGCACAGGCCTGGCTTGACCCAAATGACTGTTTTCCTAAATAGTTCACAAAGCTTCCTGGCTTAAATAAGCTGGAGAAACCAGCAGACAGCTAAATTATATTATCATAATCCTAATAGCAGGACACCTGTTTAATTTACAATACACGTGACAAAACTTGACTTTCGTTGAAACAGAACAGTTAAGAAGTTAAGGTCAGGGGCACAGGGTGGCTCTGAAATCCCAGCACACAGGGAAACCTCATTCCGGACAGCACTTGCTGAAGCACTAAGAGCAGAACTATATCTTCCAGAGATGCAGAGCTCGCAGAGAGACATGGAATTAGGAAGGAAGGAAAAAAGCAGGAAGACACCAGAGCATAACTCAGCAGAAACAGAGGCACGACTTCTGCAGACAAAGAGCTACACGCAGAACATGGGCACGGATTCATCGCAACACGCACCTGCCACTGCCAACACACGACCCGTAGGGACACGCTGCAGGGCAGCAAGATCTGCCACTACTCTAATGCATTTACAGCAAGGACCTCAAAAAGATACCAGGTGGACTGTGCTATAGATGCCTCCTTACCATGGCCAGGTTGTGTCTTTACAGTAAACTGGCAGGTAAAAGGTTTCACCTTTTGATCCCTGGATAAAAAAAGGATGTAAAAACGCAGGCATTTGAGTTAGCAGGTGGTAAGGCCTCCTGCACCCTTGCCGGCAACGGCACGCTGCCCTGCACCCTCCTCCTTCCCACGGGCAGGAGCCCCAGCTGAAGGGGAACGGTGCAACGCTGCAGCCATCTGTTCAGGCTCCAGAACTCTGCAAACCCCCTGCGCCGAGATCGTATCATTTACAGATCACACACTCTCACATGTAATCAACACCAATTCTGAACAGACATCTCAGGACACTAAGGCCTATCTGCTGGAGTACTGCCTCAGGAGCAGCATTTTTAGCCGGCAACGTCAGCTTCTTAAGGACTTCAGAGATGACTCTTAAAATTGACTTCTCATATGTGTCCCTCCCTGTTCCTGCCAAAGTAGGAACAACTAATTCACAGCAGGGAGGATGTGAAACAAAAACATATAGCAGGATCCAAAGAAAATTTAGACATAATGACAAGGCCCTAGACTCTACAGAGGATCCTATGTCACAAGAACATGAATTTTAGACAGCTCTCTACAATAACTGCCTTATTTTATCCTCTCACCTGCTGTTAGATTGTGTAACTAATAATGCAGTTCACAAAGTCAGCCATTTCCTCACTCTGTGCTGGGCACCCTGCAAAGTGCCAGAGCAAGTATACAGATGAACTACTAAATGCTCCAGGAGAAGGCACTGTTGTGTCTAAATACTCATTTTTTCTGTCTCTACAATATAGTCCCTTAAAGGCAATCTGAGAGGCTAAGCTTCAAAACATATCTTTTTAAAGGAATGGAAATCAGGTTATGCAATGCAAACCCAAAGAACAGATCTCCTCTTCAGCCACAGCACTCGAGGGCGGCGTCCACATAAAAGGCACATTAAAAACACACCTAAAATGTCACATTGGCCTCACCATAAACATTGACATAACTACCTGCCTTTGCTACTAGCAGGAAGGAATACTGCCAGAGTATTGCAGAGAGTAATTGGATGATTTAATTGTCTGTGCTCTTAGGAAAGAGCATCCTGAAAACGTCCATTTGCTGATATGACCCTGCAGCCTCCTACACACGCGCTCTGTCCTGGCACTGCCGCAGAAGCAGCAGATAAAGGCTCTTCTCCTTCCACTCACCAGCTATAAGGCAAGCTGTAACGTTTTCCAATTTATTTCAATGAACAAATCTGTTCTTACATCACAGCATCAGACGCATCACTGTACACTTAAAAAGCAAGAACGAGTACCCCACCTCCGACAAGTCCCGAGGAAATGCTGCTGCACACACACCACCACCCACTCCACGTTTACGGAGTCCTCACACACACGAGCAAACAGAAGTGAACCTGCGCCTCCCAAGGCTGCTACACGGAGTACTGCTTATTCCAAACTCATCACGTCACCTTCTGGCACGTAAACGCACTCAGAAAGCCATTCGGGAGGGAATTAGAGTGACAATTACCTTGTGAAGCTTTTAAATATACTTATAGAAACCTCAAACGCGTTAGCCTCCCCAAAACAACACAAGTTAGGGAAACAAGCCCTCGTCACTCTGGTGAAAATGAAGATTCAGGGCTCACACGCGCCTCTGTGCCACTGCAAAGCCCATTCCGCCGCATCACCTGAGGTTCTACCAAACTTCACTTTAAAGAAGGTGATGCAGAGCGGGGAACGCGAGCGAACAAATCCATCCTGCTGCACCGCGAAGCACAGGGTGAGCTGAGCGCCGGTGCCTGAGCCCCGAGAGAGCTACACACCATCGGGGGTTCAACCCCAGCTCACGGGGTCACGGCTGCGGCCCGGACAAGCTGCTCCCCCCGCA